ATAAAACTATAGCGCAAAGTAGGCACTTTGCTTGGAATTAATGAAGCTATGGAGTGTGGGTGTGAGGGGGTTAGAAAATACCCTTTTGACTTCTGTGTTCTCCTGGCCCAAATGCAATTTTTGCACTATGCACAACAATTCAAACTGAACTTTAAAGGATATTCGCTTCCACAGGTAAGAACAGGACGTCATGCTCAGTCATGATCTCAATATAGTGAAAGATGTGTGTCGATCCCTTGGTGCTGTCCTCACCCGAAACCATGGCAAATAGCTCCACTTTCAGTTCTACCTGCAAGCCAGATGCCACCTGTGAGACACAATGGAGCTTTAGAATCAGATAGATTTGAGTTCAAATCCTGGATTTCACACCAAATTGGGCAAGTTACTAAAACTAATCTGGGTTCCTCACCTATAAATTAAGCACAAATGAATGCTTACTGTTACAGCATTTAGAAGAAGTACTTCACGGATTAGTGAGGCAGGATTCCATTGAGTAAATGGGACCCAAGATAAGTTGTTGAAGAAAACCAGGCGCTATTAAGAAAAGGCATAAGGATAAATGCCAGGGCCCCAGAGGCGATACCAAAGGCAAACTTTTAGAGTGCCCCTAACTGTGCTAGTTCTTGAATGTCAGTAGTGGGTTTCTATTCCTTGGCATCCTTGCAGATTAGATTTAAGACAAATATAAATATAATCTGAGAGACCGAGTGAAACCTACCACTGTCCTGCCTCTTGATTTCTACCTTATGTAGGACCTGTGATGTGACAAAGCCAGTAGAGGGAGACAGAATGCCTTTAAATGCTGAACTGCCTAGGTCTGAAAGCTACAGGGAAGTCTGTCCCCACCAAGAAGAAACCTGATACACAACGAAGAAGAAACAGGGAGGAATGGGCTTCAAGAAACAGGGAGGAATGGGCTCCTCGCCTTGTTCCTTGAAAAGACCACCAGCCAGGAAACAGAGTTGTTTGTATTTCTAAGCTGCCTCTCCGGGAGGCGGGTTCAAAAGCAGGCTTGACAACAGTTATCTGGAAAAAATATGTCCACAAGGAAAGCAATTCGATACAAATAATTTCCCCCTCCATCTTGTTTTAAAAAATAATAGAATTGAAGAACTTTTCAGTTTTTTTTCAACAATGTGTCAGGCACATCCTGGCGGGGATCCAAGAGCTCTGTTTCTGAGAATCAGCCCTGGGCCCTCCAAGCCCAACAATCAACAGGGCTGGGGAGGAGGACAGCCTGCACGCGGGGCTGGAGTGCAGCACCACACAGGTCTGCCCAGGCTTTGAGTACATTGGTTTAGTGTTGGCAACCGACCAAGCTGAGCAGTGGCCAGATTTACATATGGAGAAGTCTACAGATTATATATTTGCCAGAGCCAAAACCTACCGTCAAAAAGAAAAGAGGAAAAAAACAACACCTAACAGTGTAGAGTGAGCTTTGAAGAATACACTCTGGATTTTAGTATCTATAAAGGCCTGTCCCACAGGCATGTGGGAGCATTTAAAGGCATTCTGTCTCCCTCTACTGGCATTTGGCATAATCCCTCTCGAAGTGAAAAAATCTGCTAACTTCCCAGAGGGGTGGAAGGAGAGCTGCTTTGGTTTTGGTTTTGGCCTTACGTTGTGAAGATTCTGAAATCTTGACACAGTACAATGATAAGTTGTTTGGGAGAGAGACTCATGAATTAGGGGATCTAATCCCAAAATGCATTTCTGCTTGGAATTGGGGCCTGCATAGCACTGCTTCACAGATCGGAAGCTATTAGAGCTGGAAGAGGGAGAAGACATGGTCTGGTCTGCCCTCCTTCTACGGCCGAGGAAAACAAGGCGCTCAGGATTAATTAGCCAACATGGCTGAGCTGCGTGGTCCCACAGCTGCAACAGGAAGCCAGGTGACTGGGCACTGAACCAAGGCAACCCCTCCCTGAACCAAGCTGACTCTTCTCTGTCAACATATAACATCTCGGACTCAGTGACCCCTGTGTGCTGGTCATGGGACTGGATGCCCTTTCTCAGTGTTTCCATGAGGCTGGGCATGGCCCCACCTGTGACAAAGGATTCATGCATCCACCAGACTTCCTCACTTCATTCGGTCCTCAAGGACACATCTTCTGGGTGCCCACTATGTGCTCGGCTGTGAGCTCCTTCCCTGTCTTACTCGTTTTATCACCCCCTGTAGCCTGGCACACAGTGGCTTGTGGGAGGAACTGTTTGTTGGGTGAAATGAAAGGATTGTTAAAGCAGCAGGATGGTGCACTGACCAAGAAATGTGTTAAGATTTACAAATGTGATGTTACTATATTTGAGACAAACTTTAGTTTATGTCACACTAAAGTTCTGAAATTATAGAGTAAGTCGTGATATGCAAGTTTTATACTAAACATCCTATTTTTGGGATTATATCAAATAAAGTCAGAATAGGTTGACATTTTAACATTTGTATTTTCAGAGATCTTTGGAGAAATGAGGCAGCTGATGAATTTAATATATACTGTTTCTTAGTATATTAAATAATATACTTAACATTCTTAATAATATTCTCTGGCAAACTCCAAGAGAACAAATCAGATTTACACAGAATTATAAGACTGGAATATTTCTTTTTCCAAAGGATTTTTCACTGCAGAAGGATTTGTCACAGGATATAGTTAGGTAATCAACTTCCCAAATGCATGTTAAGTCATGTTTAATTATTAGATATATTTTTCATACAACCATACATAACTATAGTACTGGGCGAACTTCAGAAATGTTTCCATAGCTCAAAGCTTAACTTTGTTTACACACAGGATCTGTCTCGTGGTTATTACATGAAGTAAGTGACATCAAGCCACATACTGCACCAATGCCAGGAATCTTTTGCTTATGATACTAAAAAATTAGACTTCAACATGGTTTAAATGAAATGGGGAGAAGGACTTCACTGGAAACATATCTGCATTCATATAGAAACACACAACAGGCAACACGTAGGACTTACAGGCCCAGGTTTGTAGGTCACTTTCAGTCCTGTGCTGGGTGGCGGCTGCTTTACCCTGAACCTACGGGCCGAGAGATGGGAATAAATTTATGCCATAATGAAAACCACGAACAGTGAATGACCCTGGGTATTAAAAATCAGGAAGATGTTAATATTCACGCTGTAGGAGCATGGGGTCCACACCATTGGAAAATCAACCCAATATTCAATTGGGAGAAGACTCGGGCCCGTTTCACAAGCGCCTTTCCAACAGCTGTCATCACCGTCAAGCAGGCTCCTAGCCCAGCCCCAGCCCTGCCGAGCAGCCAGGCCGGGCAGAGCCGTGAGTGTCTGGCTATGTGTGCATTGCAGTGTGGCCACCAGTGGGAACACAATGCTGACCGTCAGATTGTTAAGCTGACGAATAAAGGTCTGGGGAGAGCAGTCGAGCGTGGGAGCCAGTCTCACTCTGTTGTGCGTGGGGTTTGATCTTTGGGGAGAGGAGATACAGGCAAGTTGGAGAAGTTGAAAAGCCCTGTACTCACACATGGGGCCTTTCCCTTCTTGTGGTTTGTGGGTTCTGCCTGAAGGTTGAAGGCCTGGACTAAATTAAAATGCTGAGGAAAGCCACCTCCACACCAACCCTAACCCTGCTCGGATGACCCTCAACTCTGCTGCCTGCCCTGTAGTGGCTAAATTTACTCCCCTGAGGAATGAACTCTCTAAAGCTAAAGTTCTGTACTGAACAGACAGGATCAGTGGTTATTACATGAAGTAAGTGACATCCAGTTTATTAGATTGAGGTTGACTATCCCTCCCCCCCTACTTGTTGGCCACAACCTAAACAGCCAATAATATCTGGTGGCCTGGGTGCTCCTCAGTCTGTTTCTGAGGAAGCAAACGTAATTCCTGAAGTGGGGGTTGGCCTCAACTGAAATAGCACTGCGATCATTGAAACCCATGCTCCTGTTGCTCTGCTGCATATATTGCCGAACCTGAGTCCAGAATCACAACCATTTTTGAAGGACTTGTCACTCACACTGAGAAAAACTTGGCAATTGAAACAAACATTTATTCCATATTTACTGGGGAAATTCTCCACATTATGCTTAAGATAAAAATGGGATAGAGGTAATTTTGTAGCTGGGAGTTGTCTTGGTATAGAACTCTCCCATGCAGCAGTGACAACAGCTCTGTGGATCCAGTGAGTTGCCTGCAAGAACTAGTTGGTACTCAGGAGATCTGAGGCTTCACCTTACTCTCCAGCCTACAAGGACCTTAAAACAAGTCACAAAAGAGACTGCTCGGCAATTGGTGCACAATGCAGCATGCAGATGATGCTTTATTGAGCTGTACACTTGAAAGCTGTATGGTTTGGTGAACCCATGTCATCCCAATAAATTCAATTATTTAAAAAAAACACATGAGTTACTCAGTTTGTTCTACTGGCATAATCTCTACAAGCTCTGAAATTCTATTGGTCTTGAATTGGAAATGAGGGACTGACTCTTCCTTGTCACTGAATACCAGATGCAGTGTATTTTCAACTGGGAGTACAAACTGTGAGTTAAAATATTTGTTATCAATTCCAAGTCAGAACTTCAGAGCCAAAATGACCCTAATGCAGTGATGGCGAACCTTTTGAGCTCGGCGTGTCAGCATTTTGAAAAACCCTAACTTAACTCTGGTGCCGTGTCACATATAGAAAGTTTTTGATATTTGCAACCATAGTAAAACAAAGATTTATATTTTTGATATTTATTTTATATATTTAAATGCCATTTAACAAAGAAAAATCAACCAAAAAAATGAGTTCACGTGTCACCTCTGACACGCATGACATAGGTTCGTCATCACTGCCCTAATGGTTCAGGTTATAATTTTCTCTTTTTGCTTCAACTATGCAGAAGTAATGTAATTAAAACCATTTTTAGATCATAAAGTTAAAACATATCAGCTATCACAGTTGGTGGTAGATTCGAGAAATAATTTGAGAAGCAGACCTTCAAATTATGTGTTAATTATTGTTAACACTTGTGCGGCCCCTCACCTCCCTTTTTTTTCTAGAGCTGATCAGGCCTAGAGTTGCTTCTACCAAAGTATGAATAATGATTAATGGGAGGGCAAAGACGTACCTACTAATACTTGAGGCTTGATGAATACTGATTTTTCTGAAGAATAAATGAATCAATGAATGGGAGAATTAGCGAATGAATGATGTGAAAATCCAAGAGAGTATGATTACAGTTCAATTCAAGAAACATTGACTGATGTAGATAGTCAAAAAGAAGCCACAGGGTAGGAGAAGGTGACTGAGCAGACGCGGGTGCCTAGGCCTTACCTGCAGAAGTCCACGCCAGTGTTCTTGAGCTTGACAGTGGTTTCATAGGTGTGCCCTTCTCTAAGCACTCCAAACTTCACTGATGGAGGGAGAAGATGGAATCCGTAAGGGGATGAATGTGGGTTTTTAATGGCAGCCGAAGCAATGGAGGATGTTCTCACTCTTCCTCCAGAAGGATCTTGCGCCTTTGCATTAAGGAAAAAGTAACAACATAAAATAAAATGGTTCTATTAGTATTTTGAGTTCCCAGGATGAGATAAAGACTGTCTCCAGAGAAAATGCTGCTTGTTTTGAGAGGAAAGGAACATTTACTGTCTCATGTAATTCTTGAGCAACCCCATGTGAGGGAGTATTTTAGGCTTTGGTTTGAGGCTAGAGAAGCTCATGTTTGAAAAATTTGCTCAAGTGGTAAGTGGCAAAGTCTCACACTCAAGTCTGCCTGAATCCAAAGTGTGTGCTCTTCCCTCTGTGCCCATGAGGACCGAACGCTCCTCTGTGCCCGTGAGGACCGGATGCCAGCTCCCATTGGAATCAACTCCAGGACTCACTCATACTCCAATTGTTGACTTCATCCCCAGAGTTTCTCATCCGTAAATGTGGGGTGGGGTCATGACCTTGCATTTATAACAAGGTCTCAGGTGTTGCCAGTGCTGCTGGGTCAGGTGATCACACTTTGGGAACCACTGCCCTATGCACTTGGTATTCCTCAGAGCTGCAGCACTGACCTCACCTGGGAGCTTGTCAGAGCTGCAGAATCCCAGGCTGCCACACCAGTGAGTCCAAATCTGTATTTTGACAAGATCTTTAGGTAATTCGTGTGCACATTTAAGTTTGAGAAGCACTCCTATCACATCAATTATATACATTGTGACAAATTCTGTGATGGCAACGGGCACAGGGTGCCATGAAAGTATAGAAGGATAACATCAAAACCTGTCTGATGGGCTCAAGGAAGGCTTCCAGCAGAGCTGATGTGGACTCTTAATCTCTGAGGCTCTAAAGAAGGAAGGAGTTGGATGCTTTTAAAGAACTAAGAACTAAAGAACTAACAACCCACAATGGCGGAAGTACAGTGAGTTTGGGGCAAGGTGATCCAAGAAGCAAACGGGGCCACACTTGTAGTCAGGCTAAGATATTGGATTTTATCCTAAGAGTCACGAGAAGTGTGGCCGATGACCCCCTTAGCCAGCAGTGTGCTGATAACACTGGCTTCCTGAAAAGAACCCTGATTAACAGCAATTGTCAATTTCTATGATTACGAACTCCCAGCTGGGCTGATTTCAAGCTACCAATTCCTCCAGTGAGCCTATAGGAACAAAGCACTGACTTAGTTCCTCTGTGTGTGACCTGCAGGCCTTCACGGTGAGATGGTACGTCTAGTAAATAGCACGCAGTGGCTGGCCATCAATCACTCCAATGGGTCAGGTTTACATAAAATGCTGCTTGGCTCTGGGAAATGTGTCCCCACGTCTTTTACCTTTGTGAGAGGTACAGACTTGGGCTTGGAACTCCTCAAATAGTGAGGTATCTTCACTTTCTCCTTCCTAGCTTGTCCTTTGACATCCTGCAGCAACGACTGGGTTGGGATTTTCACGGGCAGACACAGATCTGATTCTGTTACAGAGAAAGTTGAAATTACCACATGGACATTTTATTCAAAGACACTCGAGGTCATCCCAGGGAATATTGAACATTGACTTGGAAAACTTTTCTTCTTTTTTAAGAGCTCATTTAAAGGAACAAGGCTTTTTAAAAAATTAATTCTAGTGTTATATCTGTACATTTTACGAAGAGATTTTACTCAATGTTGGTCCTCACACCAACTTGACGAGATGCTATTAGTATAACCTTTTCTAATTAAATCAGAAAAATCAGATTCTATGAAGCTGAGTGACTCGCCTTGATAAACTGCATTCATACTGAGGTGTTCAGGGTTCTTTCCACTGAATCAATGAGGTACAAATATAAGAAAACGTTGATTCTGAAAGATTTCTTAAAACTAATGAGGAGGAAATCTTGAGAATTTTTTTTGGCTCAACTCTTATATTTATAGTTCTAAAAAGTGGTAGTAATTACAGATAAAATTGAGCCAGGGAAGTTAATCCTCAAGTCACCACATTTGGTGAGGAGTAAGCAAGAGTAGATGATCCACATTGCTGCGTTTTTCCAAATACCCAGGCAATTGAAATAAGAATTGTATTTTAGATCATAATATTAAACATCCTTTCTTAGATTCAAAAGTCATCAGGACAGGAAAGGGAAGGGACCAATATTTGAATGTCCACTATCTGCAGGCAAACACCATGGGTATATTTTGCAAACAGCATCTCTGAGTTGAGGGTTATGGTAATTATAATCTTTGTGCTCTCAGCACTCTCCACATTGCCCCCTCAACACCCACTTCTGCCACATATATTTCTGGTGCCATGACATCCCTGGACCCAGCCATTAGGATGGTACATGAGCCAGGGGAAGGCAACACAGTACCTTTACTGGAATATTCCCACTGAAGCTGACAGGGATAATCCCATGTCGCTGACTGGGTTATGGACCTGGAAGAATCAGAACCTTGGACCTCTGTAGTAATGGACATAGCCTGTCCTTTGTAGAAGAGGATAAAAACAAACAGGACAAGTAGGGATAGGGCAAGATGAAGACAGGGAGGATGCCCAGAGAGACAGGCAGGCAGACACAAACACTCCTATGTGGATCAGTGGTTAGAGTGTCCTCCCACCAAAGGGTCACGTGTGTGATTCCCCATTCAGGGCACATACCTGGATTGCAGGCTCTATCCCTGGGGCATGTGTGGGAGGCAATCAACCCATGTGTGTGTCTCACATTGATGTCTCTCTCTCTCTCTCTCTCTCTCTCTTCCTCCCTCCTTTCCTTCCACTCTCTCTAAAAATCAATGGAAAAAATACCGTCAGGTGAAGATGAACAAACAACAACAACAACATTGCTGTTTATATGAATATTAATTTACTTCTTTTAAAGAGGCCACATTACCATGTCTTATCTCAAGTATCAGAGCCCAGGGCAGCAGTAGGTATTCTTGATTCAAAGTAGTTTGTTTCCTCCTTCGAAAACTCCCATTCCTTTAAAGCTCCTGCCATCAGACTGCGTTACCTATGACATCTCCAAGCAGCTATCATTGACTGACCTCTCCATCATTCCCTTGATTCACTGGAGCTCTTGACACCTAGGGTGGCCTTCTACTCCATGTTTCCTGGTGATATCACAATGTCCTCTCTGATTCTCGATCATCTCATTTCTTCATAGTTTCCTCTTCTATCTCAGAAACTCTCATGTCATATCTTTGACCTTGCCAACACCAATAATTTTACCACTTTCAAACTCTCATTTCAAGCTTCCCTCTATATATCATCGCCTCCAATTCTTCTAGCTTATTACTCTATCATATTTAACAAGCAATTATTTAACCTCATTGAGATCTGTAATCAATTGACTTCCTCATTTTAAACAATCACTTGTCTCATTCTTGTCTTGCTTTCCTGTTTCTTTGGAATGGATTATATATTCCATCATTATATCCACTCCTTTGCAATCGGACTTTCTCATCCTCCCAAACCCAACATATTAACTAACCTGCCAATGTATCCACATCATGCTAAGAATCCTTTCACAGTTCCACAGCTCCAGGGTCCATGATACTATAGAAATTTTTCTATGACCACAACCATACCTTCAACACCCAGTACCATCTCCCATACTCCGAAAGGACATAATGTCCAGTTTTGAGAGACAGTGAGATAAAGCAAATGATTACCATACCTGTGGGAGACTTGGATAAATTTTCAGTTTCCTTCTGGTTAGCGAACTCCTTGATATTCACAGAACTCTCCGATTTTGAAGAAAAAGCCCTATCTGAGGGTTCCTGTTCTACAACTTCTTTTGGCTGGGGATCTAGAAAACCTAAAACAAATATTATAAGGTGACATTCCAGACAATGGTACAATCACTACTAATGTTTGTGTTCTTTACAATGAACAAGGTGCTCAACCCCCACACTTGAGAAAGACTAAATAGAAAAAAAGCTACTAAGAGGCAATGACTCTTCATATATGATGCAGTGCTTGCCATTAACAGATGGGGCTCACACTGCCTGGGAGCTAGCTGGTTCTTTCTGTAGTAGTAGCTATCTTGTTGGGTTATGAACTAGAGACCAAGTAGTTTGGCCTATGTTATCTGGCAAGAATAACTGAGATGTGAATTTTTAAAAATTTCTTATCTTAGATGCATTCATTACTGTGGACACGTAATTCTTTTATAAAAACCTTCACCCACGGATATGTATTTATTGACCCTAGGGGGTGAGGGGAGAGAGAAACATCAATGGACCAGGGACCTAACCTGGAGTGGAACCTGAAACCTTTTGGGGTGCATGGTGTGATACTCTAACTAAGTGAGCCACTTGGCTAGGGCTGAACATGTAATTGCTAATTAAAATATCTCTCTCTAAGGAATCAGTGCAATATGAACACATTTTAAATAAATAGATCAAGGACCAACTTGTGTGGGCCAACCCTAGTTGAATGAGTGGTGGTGGCTGCCTGGAGGACTGTGCTGAAAAACAGGCCTTTCCCCGTCTCAAGAGGAAAGTAGACTTGATTGATTAGTGATGTCTGTGTAGGTAGCAGGTAGAAGCATCAACCTTCACCCCCAATTTCTCCCCATCACACTTATAAGCCCTTGTTCCAGCCTTAATCTTTGCTTTGCAAACTCTGACCCATCATCACACTCAGGAAAACCTATAGTAATGCCACAATGCCTGCTGATAGAGTCCCCCAATCAAACTCATGTAGTTGCCCTACAATATCTTTTATGGTGGTTTTTCTCAACCCATATCCAAAGTGCATGCACTGCATGTTGTTTTCATGACTTCTTAGTCTCTTTTAATATAGAACAGTTACTCCATCTTTTTCTTTTAATAATACTGATTTGTCTGAAGAGTCCAGGATAATTGTCTTTAAAAAAATGCCTACATTTTGGGTTTGTTTGATTGTTTCCTGTTAATCAAATTCAGTTTAAGGATTTTTGGCAAGAATTCTCCTTCATAGAGAATTTAGTTACATCTTGCTTTCCTCTTATAAGTCAGGCAGGACTAATATACAGGTCACAGCAGGTCATGTCATTAGCTGTTACTAAGGCAAAGGGTGGTAGGAACTAGTTATGGCCTTAGAGCCACTATGAGGTATTCTTCATTTAGGCACAGTCACAGGAGCTACACAAGCACATTACCTGGATGAAGACCACATGTATTTTTCTCAGTTGTTTTGCTCACATCTTCACCTTTCTTTGGAAATGGAGGCAAGTTTCCAGAAAGGGTGTACAGATAAGGAAAAACCAAAAGAATAATTTTAGACTTACACATGGCTGAAAGGCAGCTGCCACGAGCATGTTAAATTGTTGAGCAATGATCAAAGTCTCTTTTTTAAGGTCCTGGAAATGAAGTTTTGTAAACTAAAAGTTTTTCAAGAGACTTATTAACTCAATTGTAGATTTTGTTAATTAGTTTCCTATAATTTCTTCTCAGGCAGCCTCTGGTTAATAATAGTGTCTGGAGTTTTCATAGCAACACTGGGAGTTCTGAACTTATAATAACTTAGAGTTATCTCAGCAGCCAATGGGTAACAGAATTTCAATGGAATAAAAACTTTATTGAATAAAACTGGGGTTTATCATAGGATGAGCATCAATAGGGAGAATTTGACACAAAAAATGGCTTAAAATAGATGGGATAAGGCAATTAATAGTGATAATTCAAGGCAGGGAGATGGAGAGGTAGTAACACATTGGTAGAGAACACTACTTAGGTGTAAGACCTGAAATTAGGTCTCTCTCTTATATGCTCTTGAAGACATGGATTTGAAGGGTATAGGTTAGTTAGCGGATTAGATGTAGGAAAGAAATAACTTCAGGAAAGGAACATTATATAATAGCATATGCACTATGTCAACTTTTAAAAGGACTCTTATTCAATAATTGTTAATTACATTCAGTTACCTGAGACTGAAATGTCTTGCTAAATTCAGATTTGAAGTAAGGTGATACTACTTTGTTCCTAATTTTCATTAAATAGTTGTTTGTGTTTTCAATCTCTTTCCTGGTCAGTAGTTCCATAATTATGCAAAAGAGACATAAAATATTTCAAAATATTATTTGCTTGTGTTTTAGCTCTATATCCCAGTCATTTTTCCTACTTAGAAATCAGCCTTTCATTGTAAGATAGCAAATAATGATACCAGCTGGTTGGTTTTACAGTTGACCTCAAAAGACTAAAAACCACATGATCTTAAAGCCAACTAGATTCTTCTAATCTGCATAATTTCAGAAGCAGAACTAACAAAAACCTAAGTAAAAGTTTATGAATAATGTGATCAGTGATTACAAAGTGAAATAAAAGCATTATAATCCTGCTAGATGTCTTTCCAATATCAGAACCCTACATTGGGGAGACATATACCAGCTAAAAACTATACTTTTCACATGTAAAGACAGGCAATGAGAAGTAAACTAAATTCCCTGAGTAAGACTCCAGGTAGCTTTTTAAAGAAGGCTAACTCAGCTGGGAGGCTTTCCCTTTGTCCTTGTCTCATTTATTTTTCTACTTTCTGAAATATGGATGAAATGGCTGGAATTGTGGCAGTCATTCTGCAACCATGAAGCAACCTTAAGGATGGAAATCATGTGCTGAGAACGATAGAATAGATGAAAAGAAGGAATCTGATGATGTGGTGCTGCCTACTTCTTTCTTATAAAAGCATTGATTTGGGGGCTGTCTGTTAAATGTAGCTCAACCTAATCCTATCTGATATAGTTTTCCATTTTAAGTGCTTATTATATGCCAGACACTTTGCAAAGTACTTTATATTTAATCTTACAAGAATTCCGAGTTAATATTATTATTATTCCCATTGTATTGGCCAAAAAGCCAAGGCCTAGAGAAGTTATGTAACCCACTGTAAATCATTAGCTAGTAAGAAGTAAAGTCCAAATTAAAACCCAGGCTGCCTCCTCCAAGCCCATGATCTTGATAAGTGCACTTGCTAATTAGCAATTAGTCACCCAGTGTGTGAGCTGACCTTAGGTATTAGGTGGTCCAATCATCCTCGTTTTATAGATAAACAAACTGAATTCCTGGAGTTAATTTTACTGACCTAAAACAGTGCTCTCTTACACTGGATGGCTTCTCTGGAAATACTGGCTGAATCAAAATATCATCTAATTTAAACAATAATTTCTCATTAACATGTCTCATCTCTATGGCCTCATGGATTCACTCATCAACCTATGGCAGTGTGCCTATTGCCTACCACTTTCTTAAAACTGTTCTCACAAAAGACATCAATAAACCTTCCAACTGATAAACGCTAATTTCCCCATTCATTCTCCTTTCTGACACTTCCATATCATCTAACATTTTTGACCACCTCAAATTTCCTTGAAACTTTCTCCTTCCTTAATCCTCCTCTCCCATCTATTATGCATGCTGCCAACACTTATTTTTCTATGACACATATCTATGTGTTTCACTCTCTTTTTCATAAACTTACATTGGCTTTCTATTACCTACCTCTTGGTTAAAATTAAAAATTTTAGTGTTCCAAAATTCTAAAAAATGTGAATGGATAACACATGTACATAATTCTAAAGGTATTGAAGAGTACATAATAAAAAGGAAGTCTCCATCCCACACTGTCCCTTAACTTAACCTCCCAACCTCCCTCCCGACAGGCAATCACTGTCACCAGGCACTTGAAAATCCTTCCAGGGATATTCTATGAGACAGTATACACCTTACACTTTGACCTTGTATGTAGGGTGGGCCAAGAGACTTAAGGTCTTATCTCACCACTTCTCCAACACATGCCATAAGGTAACCCAGACATTGTTATTAAGAAGCATATTCATCTGGGAGTCATTCTGAAGGGGAGCCATACCAATATGTACAATAGTACCATATATACTACTATAGGCTCAATAAATATAACTGGCTTCCTCTCTTTATGGCAAGAGAGTTGAAGTTGGAATCACTGGCTAGGATTGAAAGGAAACCAAAGCACATGATGCTTAGAGCACATCCTCAGATGAGTTATATGAATCCTTGAATGTTTATAACTATGCTCTGCATTAAGTTCTAGATTATTTATCAGTAATTAAGATTAGCAAAGCACAGAGAGCGTTCTTACTTATGAGAGGGAGAGGATCCACCCTACTGGTCCAATGGGCATCCTCAAGAGATAAGGACATGGTCACACAAAAGCTAAATGACCAATGGCAGAAACACAGAAGAGATTCAGATCACAGCAGGGAGCCTGGACGGTAGGACCTCCCAACCCTTCCTTCTCTAAGATTCTATGATTCCACAAAGCTGGGCTTTTTCATATGTTTATGTATATATACTTCAGAATGGATTACCTCTTCTGAGCTATCTTCTCTTTCCAGTGCTTTACTGTTGCTGCATGCCTATGTGAAAGAAAAGAGACTTATGACCAAAAAGGCAATACGATACTTTGCTGACTTTCCACACAGTTGGCTCTTTCTCTGGTATCTTAATTGGCCATATCTTAGGTTACTTAGTGCCCACTATCCGGCTGCCTCTGGGATAAGTCCATGTGATGCTTTGAAAGGTCTAAAAGCATATTTTTCCAAAAGATTCCCCCTTCCCAGCAGCCGTATTTTTGAAGTCATAAAATAGGGCCCTCTGTCATTTTCCTTCTGGGGCCCCATATACCTTCCGTGGCATTTCTCGCAATCTGTCATGACGTGCCTATGTGTTGACTTGCTTTGGGGCTGTTTCTGATGCTATCTTATAAGCTCCAAGATGGCACTGGTCGAGTTGTTATCTATCACTCTATCTCCAGCTCCCAACAGGAAGCTTTTCACATAATGGGCATGCCAGACATGTCCATTTGGATCAGGGAATGAATAAAGAAATGCACATGCTTCTAAAGCAAGAGAGGCAACGCTCCCAGTTGGCAAACAATAAAAGAAAACCACCCCTGTATGATAAGTTGTTGACAGTGTGGCAGATGAAAGGCGGAGATCTCCTGGATGTGGTCACCCATGGTTATGATACTCACATCTCTCCATTCCTCAATCACTGCATGCTTAATACTAAGTGGAAAACATTATTGGATCAGCTTACTTCAATTTCTTTTCAGAGAGCTCTGTATCAAATGGGTCTGGCAGACACTCCGGAACAGAAGTCAAAGACTGCTTATACAAATCAATTAGGTGGGCTGCAACTTTAAAAATAGATTCATTTAACTTTGCAACACAATCCCACACATAAGCAATACCTAATGTCTCATTAGAGATACTGTCTAAGAGCCTTTCTATAATCCATCAAGTGTTTACTAGGATTTCCATGATCAAGCTATACTGTAACAGTGAATGTTTATGCAGTGCCCTACTAGAAGACAAAATAAGAAACATAGTGCTCAGCCAGTGTAGCTCAATGGTTGAGCCTCAACCTATGAACCAGGAGGTATGGTTCGATTCCCAGTAGGGGCATATGCCTGAGTTGTAGGTTTGAGCCCCAGTGAGGGGCCTGCAGGAGGCAGCCAATCAGTAATTCTCTCTCATCATTGATGTTTGTATCTCCCTCTCTCTTCCTCTCTGAAATCAATAAAAATGTGTGTGTGTGTGTGTGTGTGTGTGTGTGTTTAAAGGAAACATACTGACATGTTATTAGGGGAATCAGCATCTACCTGACTGAATTTCATTGTATCTGAAGCACCGAAAAAGTACCCGTTTTATTGAAATTGTTCTGTGTCTTTTTTTTTCCAAAAAGAAAAAACACAAAACTAGGACAATCTAAATTTAAGGGTATGAATGCAATACAATGTGGTTGTTGTTTTGATAATTTGGGAAGTGACTCTCAGAGTTCATTCCACAGATCATGGTCTTGGTGGGATGTTAATAGGAGATTAAAAAAAGAAACAAGGCTCATGGGTATATGAGCTTGGGAATGTGTGTGTCATACAGAATCCATCACAACCCTAGTGTCTCCCTGTCCTCTTCCCCTGGGCAGCCCCTGATATTAAGGTTACCAGATTTAGCAAATAACAATAGAAAAGACCCCGTTACATTTGAATTGCAGATAAACAACCAATAATTTTTTAGTGTAAGTATCACACCAACTATAACTATGTTTCATTGTGCGGGACTTCTCTGCATCCTCCATTATTTAGTGTATATTGTGGCTCTCCAAGAACATAAAGCAACATGCAGCATTATCCAAACTTATATCATACAAGTCATTCTTGGTGGAGCCACCTCAGAGACTAGTGTCCTAGGAAATCCTGTGGGGAGCCTTGGCCCCGGATCTCTACTATTAATATGTCAGGGTCTGCTGTAAGTATGCAAGACCCTGTTTGACTCCCGCATCTGTTTGTTTGTTAATTTTTGTGTTTCAAAAATATATTTAATTTGTCCTTCACTTTTGGGTAACCTACCCATTTACCTCTCTGGAGATTGTTTCGTCATGCCAGAGGTTATGAGTTCAAATGCCGAAAGTAGGTTTACCAGATAAAGTATAGGGCAACTAATTAAATATGAATTTCAGATAAACAAGGAATATTTTTAAAATATAAATGGGTCCCAGTACTTACACTAAAAATTACTTTTTCTTTATCTGAAAGTCAAATATAACTGGACCTTCTCTATTTTTATTTGCTGACTCTGGCAACCTTAATATAAGGGGCTGCCCAGGGGGAAGTGTGATAACACGGTGTGAGGACAGGGAGACACTGGGTTGTGATGGATTCTTCTGTTTACAGTCTTGAGCCACATGCTACAATGTGATCAAGTAACATTTCAAGAAAAGAAAAATTCAGATAAACAAAACAAACTGTTCAAGCTCACTCGATGGGGACACACAAAACACATCTGTGGGCTTAATGAAGCCATGGCTGCTGCAGATGGCCAAAAATCAAACCCAAATTACCAAGTTTCTATGTTGCTTGTCTGCCATGAACTATGAAACCATATAACCATTTTTTGGAGCCATACATATTCCAAAATAAAATGCTTTGAATGAGGCTATTTTCCAAGAGTAGATATAGAGTAAAATAGGGTGAGGTTTTGGTGACAATTGTGTAGGGGCTCCAAAGTTCTGTGTGGGTGTCGGGGCAGGGGGAGAGTGCCCATTGGTTGATCGTTTTCTTCCTGTGTCTTAGCCATGTTCTAGATACAGGTTAAGGTTAAAATAGAAGCCAAATGTTAACTTTTTTTATTCAGAAGATGAATGTTAAAGATGAATTAGAGGCAATCACAGTTTTCAAGAATCTCATAATTCAGGCAGAAAAAAATATGAGTAAATAATAGTGATACAACATGGCTAATACAACAACAGAAATACCTACACAGAACTTTGCTATTAGATGCAAGAATGACTGAAAAGTGTATTTAAGGTTGTTCTTTTGGAATATGTAAATATTTTGCAAAAAAAATATTAAATGTACTTACTTTGAGTATCATGACTTTT